AGCGTCGTGATTTGCGGTTGCTAAACGTGGTGCCTGGCAGCGCTAACGCTTTCGCCGGGTTTGTTTTCTGCAGGGCGCGTTTGAGAAGATATTTTCCTTCTGGCCACTCTCCAAGTGTTTCGAGCTGAATGGGAACGTCTACGAGTGGTGGTTTCGGTGGAAGCTGGATCGCTATGTATGTGACACTGGCACATGGATTTATTCTGGTCTTCTAAGTGGGTTTAAGTTGGGGCAGAGGGAGGGCTGTTTCCCTTCCCTCCAGGGAAAGCAGGAGTTTGCCCCAGGTTAATAGAAGACTAAGCTGCATTCACCTTACTTCTATAAATGTCTGTCAAAGCCTTGCTTAAAAGCAACGTTGATTTATATTTGCTGCTGGACTCTTTTTTATTTACTTTTTAAAAAATAAAGTCATGAAGTGACCTACACTTGTCTCTTCTCAAAAATTTTGCTGTGAAAATTAAACACCTGTAACTCTTCAGGCTGTTGAAATGTGAGGCAAATTGCTGTGCTGACTTTCTTAATAGTATTTTTTCAAAGTTATGTAAGTTAAGGTTATATTCTCTTCAAGGTAGCCTTTAAAACAATTTTAAAAACAGGATCTTGGTGCCCAAACCAGGTTATCCTTGCCCTTCAAACAGTTTTCTGGTGGGAAAGTGGTTTTTTTTCCAGTTACTGACCCTACAACGTGGGGAAAGAGAACAGGGAGTCATTGGTTTGGTTTCTTTTTTGCCTTTTTGCTAAGGTAAGAGTAGTTTCTGAGGTGGGAGCATCTATCTGCCTCATGGTCAGCAGGATGGCTCGCTCCGTTCTCCTGAGGGCTGTCTGCAGGAACGGGTGTTTCCCGAGCACGCAGCCCACACGTCCCGGGCTGCTCCTGTCCTCCGCGCACGCGGCGCCGCGACATTTCAGGCGCGGAGCTTTGTTGCCTGCGGACAGTGTGTGCTCTGTGAGGCCGCTGGAGAGGAGGTCCCAAAATAAACAGAGAAGACAAGCACCGGGCGAGTCCAGGGCAGCATCGTGTTGCCAGCTAGTGAGGGCTTGGCACGAGATCAGAAAACACTCGGGGGAAGAATCGTGTCTGAGCAGGGGGAAGCACTTGTAGCGCTTCTTGAACGTTTTCACCTGCCAGCTTGGGAGGAGGCCAGAGACTCGTGTTTTTTCTCGAGGTCCCAAAATAAACAGAGAAGACAAGCACCGGGCGAGTCCAGGGCAGCATCGTGTTGCCAGCTAGTGAGGGCTTGGCACGAGATCAGAAAACACTCGGGGGAAGAATCGTGTCTGAGCAGGGGGAAGCACTTGTAGCGCTTCTTGAACGTTTTCACCTGCCAGCTTGGGAGGAGGCCAGAGACTCGTGTTTTTTCTCCAGAGAAAACCCTTTTAGATGCTGCCATAGATGGCAGAAGGGGGAGTAGGTACTTGAAAGCTTCTTGAAATTTCCCTGTCGTGTCTTGAATGCTCTCTGAAGCATGAGTGAGTGTTCTGTAGCTGTAGTTTTTGAGTTTAAAATGCAGCTTTTAAAATGCGGCTTATGGCAACCTCGTATAGAAAGCCAGGTTTTGTTTCCTTTAGGATCATAGAATGGTGAAGGTTGGAAGGGACCTTGAAGATCATCTCATTCCAACCCCCCTGCTGTGGGCAGGGACACCTCTCTGCCACCAGCCCAGGTTTCTCCAAGCCCCGTCCAACCTGGCCTTGGACACCTCCAGGGATGAGGCACCCACAGCGCCCTGGGCAGCCTGTGCCCGTGCAGGAAGGCAGGCATGCAGGAATTTTTGACACATCCGCTTGGGCATTACAAGTCGTTTATCTGGTAGCATTTCCCTGAAGAGTCTGTACCCGAAGTACTTGCAGAAGCCGTGAAGTATTCATTGCATTCTGTCTGTCTTTTACAGGTGGTTTTCCACGGGATGCTCTTTGCTTTTATTTATCTGGCCTTGCAGAAGCGTCAGATGATATCGGAAGGAAAGGGAGATCCTCTGTTCTCCAGCAGAGTTTCAAACGTTCTATTATTTATTTCAGTCGTATCCTTTTTGGTACGTACCAAGTACAGCTAGTAAAATCAGGTTTGTAACTCTCTAAAGAACAAGTTTTCTGAAGCTCTCGTTTAGAAAACGTATTGATTTAAAAACTCAACTCTTGCTCGGGAGGCATTTCAGCTGTGTTTGGGTGCACAGCCCTGCCTGACCTACTCAGTAAAGTGTTTTTCCTTCGAGTCAGCTGTAGATCACACCACCGTCACTCTCTCAGTTCATTGCAAAGGTTGGGTCATGAAATGATGTGGTAGATGCTGCAGCTCCTGGCTCTCGATTGCTTTTCTGTTTGTGATGAGAAACTGTCACCAGGATGCTCAGGGCGTGAGTAGCGATGGTACTCAGCAGCTGCAAAGAATCGGAGAGCAACAAAAGTAAGCACAGCGTAGTTTTTGTTCTAGGACTGGCCCACATCTTAGCCAGGCAGCGACTGCTGACGCATTTTGCTTTTCAGTGTTACATACAACTGCTCCACAGATTGATTTTTTTATGTCTTTCAGACCTACTCTGTTTGGGCGAGTAGCTGTAAAAACAAGACAGAGTGCAATGAGCTCCATCCTTCTGTTTCGGTGGTGCAGGTAATTCTAGTCCTTTTCCTTACAGTGGTAGAATCCATCAGTTACTTTGAGGCCTTTTTTTAAAAAGAATCATTTTTAAATACACTTTTGCTTTAGCATGGGATGTCATTTGAAAGTGGAAGTGATGTGACTACACTGCTGGCTGCTCCACTGTTCGCCAGCTCTCTGGCTCTGTTCCCAGTCTGTTCCCTTTTTTTTTGAAATGGTTTGCCCTGCTCTCACTTGAGGCAGCACGTGTGACTTAATTATTCAAAACTTATTTGTCCATCTTGTCGTCCTCTCTTTGAAAATTGAGAGTTAACTCAGGTTTGTGGCCACCCTCATTTTGGGCTGCCACGGTATAACCTGTTTTGAGACTATGCCTGGTAATATCCATCAACAGCAATGCCACGATTCTAGATGTAAATGTGACTTTCTGTGCTATAAGGACACGTGTAAGAGATTTGCAGCTTCAAGACCTACTTTGTTAAGCACAAACTGGATTTTTGTTTGATTTGTGCATTTATTAGAATTTAAAGAAAATACAACGCATGATGCACTTGAGTGAAAAGGGATAAACCTTTTCCTTCTGTGTGTAATCTGCTCGTCATCCACTGTCACCTTTTCTTTTTTTTTTCCCTTGTTTTAAAAAAAAGATTTTAGCTTTCATCCTCATCAGGAACATTCCTGGCTACGTGCGATCTGTGTACAGCTCGTTCTTTGCCTGGTTTGGCAAAATTTCGTTAGAGGTAAGTAGAACGATGAGAGTACGGCCGGTGGAAACCTCAGACGTGTGGGGTGAATTTATTATCCGAGCTGTGGTGGATCACACACCTAGTGAAAACATCCGCGGGCTTCCTGCAGCCCCTGCGGTTGTGTTGGCCTTCTGTCATGTCGCAGCTTCCACCCGCATTCAAAGATCACACCTGAAATAGCGATGGCGCCGCAGCAAACCTGCCGCTTGCGCTGTTTTGGGGAGAGAGTTGGGGGTTGTGAGAGCAGGGATCGAATGCAGGATGAGCTGGGCAGGTGGAAAATAGAAATCGAAGCCTGTTAAGAACCAGCATGAGTTACGCTGACGAGTCCGTGCCTGCTTACAAGGGTGTTTGCCCTGGGAAGCTTTCCCGCGTCAGTAAACAAATGCAGCTTTACCAGGGAGATCCTGGTCTTGTTCTGCTGAGTGTGTGTTTGGAACAGCAGGGATTACCTCGCTTTTACCTGCTAATGTTTAATGTGTAATTTTATTGTAGTACTAAAATATTTTTAAAGGAGAGAGGAACTTACAGGAGAAGCTCACTGTAATACTATGTGTGTGTAGCACATGGTTTTTTAATTTATTTTTCTCTTAAAGGATCACGTGCTCACTGTTGTGATTCCTGGTGAGCCCGAAGGTGTTTAAGGGCCCTTCGCGTTCACCAGCAGTTGAAGCGTTCTCTTCTGTTTGCAGGCACCTTAGCTCAGTCCCTCACCAGAGACAGAGTAACCGGGCGCAGGCGAATTTCTCCTCTGTTCTGAATCGTAGTTTTGGTGGGAAAAGGCCTTTAAGAGCTCAGGCGTGCGGCGCTCCCCTGGCTATGGGCCAAGCACACCCAATGCGCTGCGTAACGTGACAGACTCATAGTGTTGTCTCGCAGCAAAGATGTGGAAAACAGCTCCTCAGAGAACGGTATTTAATCACGGCCGCCTGACTTCAGCAGAAGCAGAGGGTGTAGGTTGTGCAATAGTAGGATTTGGATGTTTTTACAGAAAGAAAAGTATTTATAGACAAGTATTAACCACGCTCTCGTTTCCTTTTAGCTTTTCATTTGCCAGTACCACATCTGGCTGGCGGCAGACACGAAGGGGATCTTGGTGCTCATCCCCGGGTACCCAATGTTCAACGTCCTTGTCAGCACTTTCATATTTGTGTGCGTGGCCCATGAGATCTCTCAGATCACCAACGATCTCGCTCAGATTGTGGTTCCGAAAGACAACTCGACTCTGCTGAAAAGGCTGCTGTGCGTAGCCGGCTTCTTCTCTGGACTGCTCCTCTTCTCAGCAATGCAGGACCGGGCAAGGCATTAACTCGAACAGATTCTTGGAAACTTTTCCTCAGGTTTACTTTGCGTCTGCCTGAACAAAAACTCTCGAGGAGACATTTGAGGTGTCGAGGAGACATTGAAATGCAGCGTGTGGGAGATGTACATAGTGCACCTGTACATATTTGGTGTGGAAATAGCCTTCTCCAACCGCCCGAGAACCGAGAGTGCGCTGTACAGAACTGCGTGTGGAAAGGGGTCTGTTCTCCCGGATCCCTGCTCCCGTTCACGTGTGTGTTCAAAACACGGCCCGAAGCAGCGGAGTTCCATGGTT